CTTTTTTCGGGGGGTTCTTTTTGTGTGTTCTGTTACACATGTGGTGTGGAAGTGGTTAGTGCAACTTATTGCTGCAATATTGGTACCATTTAAATTCAACTAGTAACAACAGTTTTAAGACAAAGAAGATAGCGCTACGTTGGATACATCCTGAAAAAAATTAGCAAAGAATCACAGAACAGGAACCAAAATGGGAAACAAGAGTGACTGAGGAAGTGAGGGCGGCCAAAAGAAACCTCAAAATGAACGGTGATTAGCACAGGTCAAAGGTGCTGGAATGGATTCCATCCGTGATATCAAAGGCACTGCATAGGATAGAATGAAACAGATGAATACACTGCGAGCCCTATGTGACAAGTAATGGCATACCAGGACAATGAGATGCCCTATGTGACAAGTAATGGCATACCGGGACAATGAGATGCCCTATGTGACAAGTAATGGCATACCAGACAATGAGATGCCCTATGTGACAAGTAATGGCATACCAGGACAATGAGATGCCCTATGTGACAAGCAATGGCATACCAGGACAATGAGATGCCCTATGTGACAAGTAATGACATACCAGGACAATGAGATGATTTCAATTATTTAAAGTGTCAGTCAGAATATTTCACTGCCAGTATGTCTCTGGGATCTACGTAGCACGTCAAAATGAGTACCAGATCATTTCTAGGCGAGGAAAAGCAGTAATATGTAATGTAATGACCTAGAATGTGTGAAGACCTCACACTGCACACCCCCAACAGAACTTGGTGGTAAAGGATGCATGACAAGGTGGATGTGGTCAATGGCCTTTGGGACCCAAAAAGTTCATAACGGTCTGAAGTGAATGGTGCAGGATAGAGTGGCCAGGAGATCTGGCTGACACTCAGCTCTCAAAGGAAAGGCAAGATAGATAATCAATTACCCTGGTACTGGTACCGCTGGAACTAGAAGTAGACGCTGGTTGCTTAAGATGGAGACAGAGAACTAATAGGAATGTCCTTAGTGTTTGTTTTCAGTTCTTGACTCAGTTCTTGACTGTCAGCTCGACCCTAGACAGCAGTATCCTCTATATAACTATATTTAGATATTAAAAAGTATTCTTATTTGTACTACAAGACCAGCTTACCTAAAAGAAATATTATTATATACACATTTATCTTACACTATATGCAACAATTTGATTGAACGATAACACTTCACGCTAAAAGTACTTGTTCTAACAGCTGAACAAGACTGACTTATCTCAGTGTTACATATCAGAAGCATTAAATAAAGAAAAATAATAATGAAACATTATTACCACAGCACAATTAAATATATTTAAAACTACATATTTACAATGCTGCTTACATGCATGTACAATATAAGGACAGCTAGGTTACATCTTAGAGCAGAATCAGTAGTATCCAGATAGGACTACAGTAGCTAACAGCTAAATCCTATGGCCAATACTATAAAATATATGCATATACATATTACAGATCAAGATATACTGAGATGGAATGCCAAGCTTCCTTTGTCACTTAAATTTTCCTGCCAGATAAATCTTTGGTACCCATTTTAAAGCATAAATATCGTGACCCTAAAACTGTATGAGGCCAAGAAAGAAGCTTACTAAGAGGATCTGAACATGTCATAATAGGCCATTTTATTATGAGAAGCTGCAAAACTGAAACTTCTGGTTGTATAAATGCCCTGCAAATGTCACTTTTGCAACTTGAATAATCAGTCATCTGTTGAAGGGATACATAGTTAATGCTACTGGCTCTCTTCGCATCTGCAAAAATGTTTAGGAGATCAGAATATAAATACCTTAACTAACAATATAATTTAGAGGGGTGGGATGGCTGTTTGAGCTAAATAATCTTTTTAAAGTCAAGTTCTGTTACAGGCAGATAATCAAAGCCACTGAAAGGAACTCTATCGTAAAATGGTTAAGTTAAACCTTTAGCCACACTATAAGGTTAGTGGATTCAGCTTCAAACTTCATCTTTCAGTTCGCCATGATCATACAAAGACAAATACATCACTTTGTGTTTAAACTCCTGATATTCACATTTATAAATGGCGATGAATGACATGGTTAAACATTTTATGCTGCAGCTGAATAAATTAAGTTAGACTGATTTAGTTTACAGGTCACTATCATGTGCTTTAGTACTGACTTTTTTCCAAATGTGGGTTTCGGACGCCACTTGGAAAGGCCCAGGGGTGGGGTGGGGAAGATAGACCCACTGTCCTGTAAGAACATGTTATAAAAGGTGACACATCCGGTGCCTATTGCCCTTTTAAGAGCTTGTTTGGGAATATGTAGTTTAGCAAAACATTAACAGTGCACCATGTTTTTACCTCTGTCTATATTCTAAAATTTATATGGCTGGACTTTTAACACCTTCAGACATAAAGAGAAAAGAAATATTAAAGAAATAAAATGCAGAAACATTTACATTAACACATCACAATGAGTAAAGTCCAAAGATGCAGAAATAAAAACCAACCATATAATTTAATTGCATGAACAGTCAAGTGAAATACATTTATTTTAAAATCTGACATTAAATTACACCTTGCCAGATAGGACAAATATCTTTCTTCTCACGGTTTGGTCAAAAGAATGTCTCTTTTGATGTCCAGCTGTGATGAGTTTCCTTTGTGTTTAAAACCTTTTTCATTGCCAATTTTGCCAATAGGTATTTTCAACATTCTAATTTAAAAAAAAATGTTTTTTTTTACAATTTTTGTTGGCTTATCGATCCTATGGTTATTTCTTCACAACTGTGATATTTTATATTGCCCTGTGATATTTAATGTTGCCACTATGATACCTAATGTGGCCATTGTGATATTTTATGTTGCCACTATGATACCTAATGTGGCCATTGTGATATTTAATGTTGCCACTATGATACCTAATGTGGCCATTGTGATATTTTATGTTGCCACTGTGACATTTAATGTTGCCACTGTTATATTACATGTTGGCACTGGGATATTTCATGTTGCCACTGTGACATTTAATGTTGCCACTGTTATATTACATGTTGGCACTGGGATATTTCATGTTGCCACTGTGATATTTCATGTTGCCACTGTGATATTTTATGTTGCAAACTATTTCAGTTTGTGATTTGACACTATAAGCCAATTTTTTTTCTTCTTCACAGACATTGCCAATGGTCAATACATAAGATATTTTATGTATTTCTCTTGCGATGAAGAATGCAAAACTTGCAAGCCACTACATTCAGTGTTCTATCAAAAGACATAAGGGTCTTCAGTGTCAAGTGGTCAAGCCATTCGCCCCAGGCTCTAAAGGTCGGCGGTTCATTCATGTACAGGTCATTTGGTAAAAGGGTGCAGGTTTTATGGAGATCCTTGGGGATCATCACTAAAGCTAGTGTTTGTACTTTGTGACACTCTTGGTAGGTGGTTTACTATTGCGTGGACAGAGATTCAGCTGTATGGGTTACACCTGGTGTAATGAAGTTCCTCTTCTTCTTAGTGTTCACTGGCTGTGAACTTTAGCAGAAAGTTCTGATGATTATTCATCCACTTCTGCACTTTCACATCTGTTTTACAAATTCAGTTTATTTCTATGTATAGTATGGGGGTTCTTTGATCTCCCAGGCAGATGCACTCTGACTCTGAATTAGTCGCTTCTAACGACATGCTTGTTACGGAAATGGAGAAACAATATGGATGACTATACCAGTGGTTTCCAACCCAGGGAGCATTAAGCAATTTAAAATTTTGAAAATCAAAATGGGGGCGTCTGTACGTGTAATAATTTTTTATTTTCCAATTTAATCGTGTAAAAAAAAAAAAAAAATTTAAACAAAAAGCCAACAACATTTTCTTTTACATTAGGAGTTTGTACATGTTCCAATCAAAGTCTAATTAATGGGTCAGATATTTAGGCAAGCAGGTTAGTATCTGGTTGATTTACTGCCACAGCTCCCAACTTCCTGTTAGCTGATTTAATCACCTTTTGGTTTCTTTCCAACTGAACTAATTCACAGATAAAATTGAGCTGCTCATATTACAGATAGACTGAACATGTAAAACAGCAGATGTGACTTTGGGCATAAAATGTCACAAATGAAGCTTCTAAACTATTGAATATTATGAATGAGATTATCGTATACATGAGAAAGAGACAGTCCACAAGACATATGGTGTGAATATTGTCAAGACAAAGAAAGCTGCAATACTGTACCAGTTCTTTTTTTATGGTACATTTTACATGTTACAGATAAACAACTGCATCTAAAACACTGATGTTATGCACATATTTAATATTATTATAGTGTGTCTTTATAAATATATGCTTCTTAATATAAACTTATCAGTGCAATAGCCCAGCTCTCTAGCGAAGTTGGTTAAACCTGACTTTCGCGGCGGCCGGGTGACGAACTCCTTGTGGTCCAGGTTCACTCCCGGGTTAGGCAGAAAAGCCACATTTCTCCCAGATTAAAGGTACCTATAATGGAATCAATGCCGAAGAGTTGCGATATCCATAGTAACGAGCCAAAGGGTTTACAACTCATGGTTTCTGGATACGTTATTAAAAAAAAAAAATGAGTGCAATAACTACCATCTCAAATTTCCTACTGGCTGAGAAGAGTCTTTATAATTACTATTATTAGAATGTACTTGAAAAATCAGTAGGGGGCAGGCTAAAAGGAAGAACATTATACTAAAAATAAAAGCACTTAAACATCTACATTGATCTGTAAAAGCAAATCACTTGCAGTTCTTTCAGTATTCTACTGAAACATAATATATATTTTCACAGCGCATATTTGTTCATAATACAGAACTGTAAGATAGAACATAGTGACAATGTATTGAATCTGTTAACACTATTTTATAAATGTCTATACATTCAGAACATGTAGCACATCAAGGTCATTAGGTTCTTTTGATAACTGCCATGGCTGATTCACTAATCCATATCCGCCCCCTCCCCCACCTCAGTGTCCAATGTCTACATGCTGCTTTTACATCAACTAATCCTTAGCAATAGTTTTTCTGGAACGCTTCGAGCTTAAAGAAGACACAGAGGTAGATTCTGGAAGTTCTGGTGTTGTTCTTCTCTTCTGACCACACTTAGAGTGTGAGCTCAAAGCAGCTGCATGTTCTGAAGAGTTAACGGGAATATGAGTACCTGAGGCAGATCCACTACTCTGTGGCAGTTCTGTATCATCTTTCATTTCTGAGCTAGACTGATTCAAGCAAGTGTTGTCAGTGCCTTGCTGCTGAGAACTAGCTTTGGCTGATTTACCCGCTGATTCAACTGCACTGACTTTATCAAGAGCCTCAGAAGCTGCGCCAGTGTTAACTTCACCTTCAGTTGATTCACTCTGATGCTCAACTGTAGCAATTTCTTTATCTCTGTGCATCAACTCACAAGAAGATATACCGCTTGATGGTGATTCATTTTTCAACTGACCTGAGGATGGCTGATGTTTACTGTCCCACTTACGTACCTCTCTGTGCTGAGATTTTGAAAATGATGAATGTCTTTTGCGGACTGGCACATTTTCTTCACCACTGGCCTGTTTCTTATTTGCTGCAGATGTATAATAGGCTTTTATATTGCTTGCATCACATTCGGATTTAGAAGAGCTTCTAAGATGCTTTCTGTGAGGATGACCTTTCTCTTTCCTTTCAGACTCACTCACTGATGTTTTCCTGATGTTGTGCACTGAATGCTCCTGCTGTGGATGGGCAACTAGAACATGAGTATTCCAAGTCATGGTGCTTCCAAAAATCTTGTTGCAGAAGGTGCAGGGTATCTGTCTGGGAATTCTCTCAAATGAGTCATCATCATCAGAAATGTCAGAATCCTCATGCATGTAGCTCACTTCAAAAATACAGTCTAGCAGGCCTTTCATTCCAACAACACCACCACCACTACTCACAGAACCATCATCACTTTCACTTTCTTCACTTCTGGTCATGATCTTGTCTGCTACTTCTTTCAGGATCTTCTGAGATGGCATGTTAGGATCGCGAAGAATTGTTGTCAGCTCAAGGAGGTTGATAGAAGGCAGACAAGGCATCATTCTCTTACTTTCATGCTTGTGCCTTATAAGTTCAGGAAGCTCTTGCTCCTTTGGTTGGATCTCATCTTGTTTTTTGCCTTCTCCTGTGGTGTCATTCTCTTGCCCTTCTCTTTCATTGCAGGTTACAGCTGCAGAAACATCAGAACCTTCTGGAATTACCTGAGTGTTCACAGGCATTATTTTTCCTTCTTTTTCCTCTGAAGCTTTTATCTCAACCTCTGCCATAATTACTCCTTCAAGTGATTTCAGCAAAATCTTACAGATGAAGCTGTTGATATTTCCAGTTAAATCTTAAAAGGGTTGTTCCACAGGTATCTATTTGTCACTTGTTTCTGTGGTTACTGTATAAATCAAAACTGAACAAAGGCCATGTTGAAGTCAACAGTGAGACAGGTGCAGTGGGAATAGTGAACTTCTTGTGCAGCTCTGTAAGAAAAGGAAAAAAAGAATGCATCTGGTTAAAACAGCTGTACATGAATAACAATAGAGGAGAGTAAAACATTACAAGAAAACACTTGGTGATCACACAAGTTAAAACAGCTAGGATATAATCACAAGATTTATTCTGCCAAAGACTTTGGGCCTAATTATTTAAACCATCCATGTATGAGTTACAGGATCCCAATTTGGGGGGGGGGGGGGGGGGGGGGGAAGGGTGGAAGAAAGAACACATCCACAGCCCCTTAACAAACATATTAAAATATTAACAATTGCATAATTTATAGTTTATTGGGACAAAAGACACAGATATCCCAGCCTAACTGTAAACTGAAACAGAACATGCCAACTATCCTTTTGGAAATGCATATGAAGAAGAAATATATTAACCACAAATCAGCCCATGAAAAAATATTATGCAATAAAACCCTGTCGATAGAGGTTAGAGAAAAATGTGTGTGTGCTACACAGAACCAGTTTTTGAATACAACTGTGACTCTTGGAAAATGATTAAACAAGCCAGACTAATTCCTTGATGACTCAGACATGCTGTTTTACAGAAAAAAGTTTAAAATTTCCAAGACAGTCAAATGATTAAACATTTAGAAAGAGGTAGCCATAATTTTTGGCCACATTTAAGAAGAGAAAAACCGTAGCATGTTGTCAAAACTGGAAAGATTTGTGGAAAGAGAGTTAAAGGAAGACAACAAGCAAAAATCTTGACAGCCTTTAGCCATGGCATGGAAGGGTGTCAGTACAGGAATTATGAAACATGCTGTTTGAGATCACAACGTGTGGAGAAGCCCAATCCTATATGCTGGTTGGTAACGCACTTGATGATGATTCAATGATATAATCTCAATTATTTTAAAATGACCTAAGAGAGAGGTGGGAGGAAATCATACTATACTTTACATCACAAAAGAGATGTTCAATTAATCATCTTGCATCACTAAACATCAATTTATTATAAAAATTTATACTGAAAAAACAGTTGCAAATCCTTGTGAAGATGAGACAAACAGTTAACAAGGTTTCAGGAGATGTGACGAACAAATAAGAAGAGTTATGGAGATGGGATAAAAAGATTTTTTAAAAAGAACTGTATAGAGGTAGGACAAACATATGTGCATATTTGTAGAGATGAATGGAAATCTGGAATACAGGTGTAACCCCACCATTCAAACTGTAATGGAACCGATGAAAACCTTTAGAGTGTTTTATTATTCAATTTTCAGAAATATATGCAAAGCAAATTATCTCTATAGAGTTTTTAAAAATGTTTTGCATAGCATGATTCAACCATCAATATTGCAATTCAGCAGATGTCTTCATTTGGAAATCATACTTTTTTAAAATTTAAAATCAAGCACAGCATGCATGAAATGTTGGGTCATGTTGGCAAGTATTCTTACAACTCGAATACCATTTCTGTTTAGTCTGATAATAAGTTGTTTGTTTTTCTGAGTGATGAAGACCACTATTCATCCAAAGTAGTCCAGTGGGTGCCATCCCACTGTGGTATACCAGGAAACGAAACCGCAAATAAACTTGCTAAGAAAGGGGCAGAATGTGACCAGGAAAAGAATGCAGTAACATACCATGAGAAGAAAAGGGCGATCCAGGCTATTAGAAGTGAACAGAGTCTGGCCGGAGATGACTACCACTTACTTGACCGGGATGGGCAGGTCATTATCCTATGTCTCAGGACAGGACATAACAAACTTAACCAGCATATGCACAGGCTTCGTCTAAGCAGTTCACCTTTGTGCCATTGTGGGCTATGTGAGCAGACTACAGAACGTGGCCCATTAAGAAGGGAATACTGGCCCAGTGAGTCACCACTGCACGCAAAGTTGTATGGGACTAAAAAGGAACTCATAAAGTTTATCATAAGAACCTGTCTGTCGGTGTAAATCAAACAGCAAACACAAGAAGAAGAACAATCAAAAGTAGTAATTATCAGTGATTGTAAGTGGCTGATTAGTGCAATATGATCCTGGAATGTTCTTGAGCATGTGGACAACAGGTGGAAGCCACGGTTCTTTCTAGTCTGTCTGTTTCTCTACCTGTGCAACCTCCACTGTCTGACAGGCTGATACACCACACCTGAGGAATGCACGCCATGCAGAAAAGTCCTGTGCAACAATACCCATGCTGCTGTGGTGATGCCAAAGGAATTGAGAGAGTTTTGAGTGTCTTTATAGCACTTTTTCTTCCCTTGCTGGAGCTTACCATAAAATACTCTTTTTGAAAGATAGTCTGGTATGTGGTATAGGTGACCAGCTCAACACAGCTGATAATTTATCAGTATTGTGTGGATGCCAGTGGATTTATTCTGATATATAAGTATTAGTTACATAGCAACTATGTTGCAGTGAGTGAGTTCAGCAATAAGAGATAGAATTAAATACAATTCACAAGTCCATTTCTTATATGCCTTATCTCCCATCTTGTTTAGCCATGATGCTGACAGTGTATATTTTAGGAGACTATCAGCTTCCATCTCAGCAAATGAATTCCAGAGAAATTTGACTAAAAAGCTCAACAAAATGGGAAAGAGGAAAACAACACAACGAAACTTTTCGGCTGGGCAGCCTTTTTCAAACACAAGTAGCAGTAAAGGTTGGTTACAATGGGTCTCTGTTTCTCTCACTGTGGTTATATACTCTCAGTCTCTGTTTCTCTCACTGTGGTTATATACTCTCAGTGTCTGTGTCTCTCACTGTGGTTATATACTCTCAGTCTCTGTGTCTCTCACTGTGGTTATATACTCTCAGTGTCTGTTTCTTTCACTGTGGTTATATACTCTCAGTGTCTGTTTCTCTTACTGTAGTTATATACTCTCAGTGTCTGTTTCTCTCACTGTGGTTATATACTCTCAGTCTCTGTTTCTTTCACTGTGCTTATATACTCTCAGTGTCTGTTTCTCTCACTGTGGTTATATACTCTCAGTGTCTGTTTCTCTCACTGTGGTTATATACTCTCAGTCTCTGTGTCTCTCACTGTGGTTATATACTCTCAGTCTCTGTGTCTCTCACTGTGGTTATATACTCTCAGTCTCTGTGTCTCTCACTGTGGTTATATACTCTCAGTCTCTGTTTCTCTCACTGTGGTTATATACTCTCAGTCTCTGTTTCTCTCACTGTGGTTATATACTCTCAGTGTCTGTTTCTCTCACTGTGGTTATATACTCTCAGTGTCTGTTTCTCTCACTGTGGTTATATACTCTCAGTGTCTGTTTCTCTCACTGTGGTTATATACTCTCAGTCTCTGTTTCTCTCACTGTGGTTATATACTCTCAGTCTCTGTGTCTCTCACTGTGGTTATATACTCTCAGTCTCTGTGTCTCTCACTGTGGTTATATACTCTCAGTCTCTGTGTCTCTCACTGTGGTTATATACTCTCAGTGTCTGTGTCTCTCACTGTGGTTATATACTCTCAGTGTCTGTTTCTCTCACTGTGGTTATATACTCTCAGTGTCTGTTTCTCTCACTGTGGTTATATACTCTCAGTGTCTGTGTCTCTCACTGTGGTTATATACTCTCAGTGTCTGTTTCTCTCACTGTGGTTATATACTCTCAGTCTCTGTTTCTCTCACTGTGGTTATATACTCTCAGTGTCTGTCTCTCACTGTGGTTATATACTCTCAGTCTCTGTGTCTCTCACTGTGGTTATATACTCTCAGTGTCCGTGTCTCTCACTGTGGTTATATACTCTCAGTCTGTTTCTCTCACTGTGGTTATATACTCTCAGTCTCTGTTTCTCTCACTGTGGTTATATACTCTCAGTGTCCGTGTCTCTCACTGTGGTTATATACTCTCAGTCTGTTTCTCTCACTGTGGTTATATACTCTCAGTCTCTGTTTCTCTCACTGTAGTTATATACTCTCAGTCTTTGTTTCTCTCACTGTGGTTATATACTCTCAGTCTGTTTCTCTCACTGTGGTTATATACTCTCAGTGTCCGTGTCTCTCACTGTGGTTATATACTCTCAGTGTCTGTGTCTCTCACTGTGGTTATATACTTTCAGTGTCTGTTTCTCTCACTGTGGTTATATACTCTCAGTGTCTGTTTCTCTCACTGTGGTTATATACTCTCAGTCTCTGTTTCTCTCACTGTGGTTATATACTCTCAGTCTCTGTTTCTCTCACTGTGGTTATATACTCTCAGTGTCTGTGTCTCTCACTGTGGTTATATACTCTCAGTGTCTGTTTCTCTCACTGTGGTTATATACTCTCAGTGTCTGTTTCTCTTACTGTGGTTATATACTCTCAGTCTCTGTTTCTCTCACTGTGGTTATATACTCTTAGTGTCTGTTTCTCTCACTGTGGTTATATACTCTCAGTGTCTGTTTCTCTCACTGTGGTTATATACTCTCAGTGTCTGTTTCTCTCACTGTGGTTATATACTCTTAGTGTCCGTGTCTCTCACTGTGGTTATATACTCTCAGTGTCTGTGTCTCTCACTGTGGTTATATACTCTCAGTGTCCGTGTCTCTCACTGTGGTTATATACTCTCAGTGAGTCTGTCAGTTCATCTCTTTGCAATATTTATGTTAATTTTCTACTGCATCTTTGTCTTACTCTTAAATGCCTTCAATCTTGTGCTCCATTATTTAATCAGTTCAGCAGTGATGCTATATAGGTGATTAATACACTAAAAATAGTTTTAGGTTGGTAATATCCTTTAAACTTCTCATGCCTGATAATTTTCCACTGAGAATAAACAATACAACTTCACTAGAATATAATAAATGATCGCACACCTGCCTCGTACCTCTAAGTC